CTTACAAAACCCCTTCCAGTGCTTTGTTCTCTTGAGACACACACCATTAAATCACGTCTCAGTTCACTCCCATGCCCTCCAAAACCTCTTTTTTGGCCTCTGCGTCTTATAATTTGTATAATCTAATAGTTCCTAAACTTCCTGAACTGATTTCTCCCACTCCATCCTGGATTAGAGCCTCCCTTTGTGGATCTTACGCATTGTTCTTTCTTGGTTCTTCATTGCTGTTTTGTTTGATTATATCGAACAAGAAAGTGTGCATGTGAGATAAAAATTTTTACAGTCTTTTCATTTCTGCAAATGCCTTTTTCTTTTTTAAAATAATACTATAGATTGAGTATAAATTTATAGGATTGGAATTTATCTCAGAGTTCTGAAGACGTTTTCATTTCTCTTTAATTCTGTCATTGTTGGGAATTTTGAAGGCAGTCTGATTTCTGGACCTGTTTTTGTGGTATTTTTTCAGTTTGCAGATGTGAAGAATTTTTAAATGTCCTTTTAATCCAGGCTCTAAAACTGCACAGCAATAAATATTCCATGATCTCGCTGTTTGTTTAGCATGGCGAGTTTTGCTCCAGCTCCCTGTTTTGGGTTTGTGCTCCGCATAGTTCTATTATTATTGATGTTCCAGTCTTGGAACCTCTCTTTTTAAAAATTTTCAGTCTTTTGCCAAACGTCTGTAAGTTTTGGATATGAGTTAGGCTGAGAGTAACAGACTTTGAGCTAGTCCTCATTTCCAGTCATGTGCCTTCTGCCCTGCCTGAGGCTTCCAAGTCCCTGAGGTTTTCCTGGAGTTGTGTCAGGGTACATTGAAATGAGAGTTTTCCCTTCTACATTTGTTCACATTGCAGTTTTATCTGTTCTAAATCATTCTTATGCTGCTTTTTCTCCTTTGAAAATCTGTTATCTCCTGAATGCTATTACTCAGTAGTTTATTTCCTCCTATTTATTGCTTTACTGTCATTTTAAAAGTTTATTTACTTCTTTAAAGAGAGAGACACACAGCACAGGTACCTTTCACAGGGTCTTCATGCCCTAATCCACCTCCAGTCTCAGCTGGACTAGGTTACAGGTGTGTGCTCAGGTCGGTCCTGGGACACAACGGAGGAAATGTTCCCATGTCGGTTTAGTTTGGGCTTGCAATACAGCTATGAAATCATGAGAAAATCAAAGAGAAAAAAACACAGTCATAACCTGGCCCACTCAGAGTCAAGTACTCTTCCAGATCATTTCCTCTGTGTGTGTATATTTATGCACATATGCACATGTCTAAACATTTTTACAAAAATTAAACGTACTCTTCAAGATTTGAAACTTGAGTTCTTTTTTTTTTTCTTGACAGCTTTTTGCTACAGGGTGTGTGTGCTCACTGGAAAGACAGAGAGAGACAAGAGACAGAAGAAATCACCCCCTGGGGGAGATGGCCACACGGCAATTCTTTCTCCTCCATTCTCCTCTCTGCATTTTGGGCACACATGCACATGCACCCAGTGTGAGTTTTAAGGGAGGGCGTCTGGGAACTAAACCACAGTCAACTACTTGGGAGTTCGGGACGTAACCATTATGCCATCTGTTAGCCTCAAACTTGAATTCTTTCACTTAACTATAATGCTTTAATATTTTTAGCAATGATAGATATATTTATACAAATTAAATATGATATTAAGTTTTTCTTTTTTTAAGTGGTTCTTTTGCTATAGGGCTTGCACACTCACTGGAGAGAGAGAGAAACAAAGCGAAAAATCCCCCCCAACCCCCCCAGGGATGGCCATGCTGCAATCCCTTCTCCTTTAGTCTCCTCTTGGGATTTTGGGCATGCATGCAGATGCACCCTCCATGAGATTTAAGCCACTGGGTCCAGGACTCAAACCGCAGCGCTATCTGCTGGTCCCCAATATAATGTAAAATTTAATCATCACTTTTCAGAACCTGGTTTGAATATCTACATGAGGTTTATATTCTAATAGAGAAGGACAGAAAATAAATTATGTAAATTAATCTATAATGTGTTTTGAAGTAAAAATTAAGCAGCATAAGGCAATGGGGAATAAGGGAACTGGTGAGTCTAGGGTAAGGTATCGGTAGGGTGGACTTATAAGACCTCTCCATTAGGTAACACTTCAGGGCCTGGAGTCTGGGAGTGGGGCATGAACAAAACCAAGCAGAGAACTTTCCAGGCAAAGGGAGCATCCAGTTTCAAGGTCCTGGGGCAGATCATGTGAAACAGATTCCAGAATGGGTGGAGACAATAGAATGGAGGTAAGAGTGAATATTTATGGATGTGGGGAAGGGAGCCAGGGGCCAGAGAGGTAGGACTTGATGAAGTCCATGGCAAGGAGATAAAATGCTGAGACTTATATTTGAAAGTATCACTTGGGCATGGTCTTCCATGTACACATATGTTTATACATTCACACATGTGCTGTTTATTAGTGTCCAGAAGAATTTACAGAGGAAGGTATTGAGTTAGAGGTGATGAGTTCATGTCACAGCTTAGAGAGTCAGGAAATTGATTCTTGTGAAGTGGGTCACAGACATTTGAATCTGAAGGATGTGAAGAGGGAGAAGAGAGCTGTCACTCATGACATGTACATGGTGGACAGCTCGAGTGCACGGGTCAGACATGCTGGGATTCTCACTCTATAGCTTGTGATTGAACGGTAATTATAGGTGTTGTTTTGGGGACAAGAGAAAAGGGACAGGAAGTAAACTGCTTCAAGGAAGATACATAAATTGCAGGAGAAGACTGACACGGTGGAAAAAGGAGTTTTGAAGTAGTCTAAGATTGCAGAAGTGCGGCGCCGCATGGTCATGTCTGTTACCTTTCTTCTTTTTTCCTGATTTTTCTCCAGTGAGTTTTGAAATCATTCGAATGCCAGATGTTTGAGTTAAAATACATGCTGTTTGACTGCCTTAAAATTGCAGCTTTTATTTACCTTTTAATTTGAAGCCCAGAAATAGTGCCATAACCACCTGTTTTATATTCTGTTAATGGTCATTAAAACATCCAAGTACCAATCTACTGCTGGCATCACTGTTTATGACTGGACAGTTTTCCAAATGGCTGTTTGTAAATCGTTGGTGTGGAACTCTGTCTTTTTCCCCGCAGAAGCAGAATTGGACCTGCAGGATGGGGCTCCAGGCCAGTACACCAAAGTCGATTTGCTCCATAATATTGCATGCAGTTTACCATGGATCACAGAGAACTGTAGAGCTTGTCCAGGAAAACATCTCCAGCATTGTGTGGATAGCCCGCATGGCATGAGCAGACCTCGCGGGAGGGTATGAGGATAAGGTCCATAGTGTATTTAAGGACCTGAGTGAGAGGGTGGACCCTAATGAAGTGGAGGAGAGGCCTCTGAGGCGTCGGTATCTTTGAAATAAGGGACAGGTATTTCTACCTCTTTGTTCTAAGGCATTGGTATTAATTTTTATGCCAGGTTGGTTTCTTGGTCATAGTCTCTTTATCATGAAAACTTAAACTTTAGTCTACATTTTTCCACTCACCCCACTAATGGGGATCATAGCCACATGGCATTTTTATTTATTTATTTATTTTTCAATTTTTAAAAAATACATTCAGTCACATTATTTAGCTTACAAAGTAAACATTTTAATATGTGAACATTTCTCCCCAGTTGATCAAAATATCTTCAACTGATAACACCACACCTCCCCATCCCGTCAATGCTCTGCCTCCGTATCCCTCCTCCAAATATCTTTCCCCAGGCCCTGCTCCTCCACACACACCACATCTGACATTCACACCCATCTCTTGTGTTTGTATAACCTTTAGTCAATCAGTTTCAGTCATAGAGTACAGACACTTTGTAATGTTAAGTGATTTTTAGATCAGGTAGTGATCTCTCTCAGCTGTCTGGCACTTTGAATTTACTGATTTGTAATATCAGATCCAGAAGAGTACATTTTGACAGGAGTGCCATTTTTCTCTAAAGCGCTGTCCCTGAAACAGATAAATGTCCATTTTGAGTTTTTACAAAGCATTTTATTCATAAGAGTGGTGGGAAAGGGAGTGGGTGGGTTGAAGACCCCAGT